ATTGCTGAGTTTGTATTATTGTGGTTTTGAATAATCCTTCTTGGAAAAAAATAATTGTTTTCTTTCCCTTTAACTTCATTCCTACCGGTCTCCTAATTTGAAATACAATATTCATTCTTTTGAAGGCAAATCTGACCAAAAGTTCCTCTTAGGTGGTCATTTCCTACCGATAGTTCTGTGAAATATTTGAAAAGAAAATCTTGATTTTTTAAAAACCTATTTTGCTGCTGAACTTTGCCAAAGATTTATGGAGATCCTGTCACTACATAGAAGAGCATGAGTTAATTAACAATAAACTTTGGTGCTTGTTTTATCCCATAAACTTTGGTGCTTGTTTTATCCCATAAACAAAGCATTCTACTCAGTGTGCTGACCTACTGAGATAACATAATTCTGTCCAGTTCACTTAAAAGCAGAGTTCTCTAACTTGGCCACTTTAAGACTTGTGGACTTCAACTCCCAGAATCCCTCAGCCAGCATGTCTGAAAGTGGGCCAAGTTTGGCGAACCATGATTTAAAGCAGGGGTCTTCAAACTTGGCCCTTTTATGACTTGTGGACTTCAACTCCCAGAATTCCTCAGCCAGCATGCCTGGCTGAGGAATTCTGGGAGTTGAAGTCCACAAGTCATAAAAGGGCCAAGTTTGAAGACCTCTGATTTAAAGCAATAAATAGAGCGAGTGGGGAATTTCATTAACTGGTTGGCCAATTTGGGGCACTTGTGCTTTCTGTAAATCTCACAAGCTTTATCATAGAACATTTCATTACACAAATTCTCAAGGAAAAGTACCGTAAATGCCGGCGTACAAGGCGACCCGGCGTATAAGACGACCCCCGTCTTTATAGCCGGGCCGCATTCCTAGAACGTCGTCTTATCCGCCGGAAACTACCAGTATTTCCGGCGTATAAGACGACTCGGCGTATAAGACGACCCCCATCTTTGGCGCCGATTTCAGTGCTCGCGGAAGTCATCTTATACGCCGGCATTTACGGTAGTACCCTTCCACAGAAGTCTATCACTGGACTCAGCTGTTTTGGACAGTCTCCAACCTTCTCTTTTTAGGGGAGGGTTGTTGAAAATATTTGAGGCCTACAGCTCCAAAGGAAGAAGTGGATTATCTGGACACCAGGCAGTCAGAGTTCAGATTAGGGAATGGCATTGAGTAACCTTATTGATGACCTCTGGTGAGCTCAGGAGCAGGGTAGTGCATCAATCCCTAATTTTTCAGTGACTTTCAATTGAATCAGTACCATGGTATCTTTCTGAACTGGTTATCATTTGACCATTGAGAGCCATTCATGTCTTAGTCACTTACCAATTGGACTATTGCAATGCATTCTAAATGGGATTGCCCTTGAAGAGTATTTAAAAGACACTGAAAGGCATTGAAAAGCACTGTTTTCCTTTTTCCTCCAAGGTTGGTTCCACTTGTTACAGACCAAGAAATTCTGCCCTAAACCTTTGCTATGGCTTGACATGCTTCCTCATTTCTATTTGACTCCTATGTGAAACTGCTGAGTGAGGGTTGAACAGGTGAGGTCATTTATCAGCATCGGGTTAAATATCAGTATGCTGATGATATCAGTTGTGCAACTTGGTCTTGGGCCAATCAAGTGATGGTGCTGAGATACTTCCTCAGTGCCTGGAGGCTGTGGGTTGGATGAGGAAGAACTGGCTTTGCTCAATCCTGCCAAAACTGAATGGCTGTGGGTTTAAGGTCTCCAGATCAAGTGGCTTTCCATCATTAACCCTGACTGGGTTACACCCCCCTGGAGTTGATATGCAATCTGAGGTTTCTTATGCTTACAGCTCCTGCTTGAAGAGCAGGTGGCAGCTGGATTCTTGGCATAAAAAAAGGGGGAGGTACAGCACAATTAGACTAGCAGGATTCTCTTATGGTACCCAATCACAATAAATGTAGTTCTAATCTTCGTATCTGGTCTACCCAATGGAGCTGGCATGCATCATTGCTCAACTGGGACACACTGCTGACAATCACTCATGTCTTAAGTTACTTTCCAATTGGACTACTGCAATGCAGTCTACATGAGACTGGCTGCCTTTGAAGACTATTTGAAAGGTTCAGCTGGTTCACAATTCACATAGTTTGGTCACACCATAGTATGCCCATCTGACATCTCTATGTGAATTGCACTGGTTTCCAATAGCTTCCAAGGGCTACTCGTAGTACTGGTTGTCACCTAGGGACCTACATGGCCTGGAACCAGGTTGCAACATTTCTCTTTAGTAGTTTCTGCTTGCCCCTTTAGATCTAGCAGAGTAGACTATTGATTAAAAAGTGTCATCTGGCAGATCCCTGATAAATCTATATTGCTTTCAAAACTTTCAGCCTCACATGAAACTCAAAAAAAAAAAAATCTCATTGTATCACCTATATCAGGGATGGCGAACCCATAACATATGTGTCAAAGATGACATGCCAGCATTCACCAACACCTGACAACTATTCTGTCTATTTGACTGACCAAAGAAATGAAATGAACATAAATATGCAACCTGCCACCACCCAAAGATTAAAACGGATACTCACCATCCGTATCAGCATGTGATCTATCATGTTCAGAATGGGGATTGGTAGTAATATGAAAGAGACTAATAGGAACATGGCAGCTACATAGTTCAGTTGTCTTCCAATTGTTGCATGGGGTGGTTGTTTGCACAATGAAACTCATTTTGAAAGTGCAAGCGCAGAGAATATCTGCAACTGCAATCTTCAAAATGAGCACCCTATCAACAATTGTGTGAAATCAGCTTTTGTAAGATTGCCTACCTTTAGGAAAAAATCAAATGCACAGGTATAGAATGGGTGGTACCTGGCTCAATAGTAGTAATTGAGAGAGGGATCGTGGAGTCTAAATGGACAATCACTTAAATATGAGCCAGGAGTGTGCTGCTGCCGCCAAAAAAGCCAATTCAGTCCTAGGCTGCTTTAACAGAGGGATAGAATCAAAGTCACGTGAAGTGTTAGCACTACTTTATAATACCTTGGTAAGACCACACTTGGAATACTGCATCCAGTTTTGGTCACAATATAAAAAAAGACGTTGATTAGGGGACTGGAGGCTAAAACATATGAAGAACGAATTTAATGAAGAGGATTAGGGGTGACATAATATCAGTGTTCCAGTATCTAAGGCACTGCCAAAAGAGGGGTTCAACCTATTCTCCAAGGTACGTGTAGGCAGGACAAGAAGCAATGGATGGAAACCAATCAAGGAGAGAATCAACCTATAATTGAGGATAAATGAATGGCTTGCCTCCAGAAGTTGTGGGTGCTCCAACACTGCACATTTTTAAGAAGGGATTGGACAACTATTTGTCTAAAATGGTATACGGGGTTGGACTAGAAGACTCCTAAGGTCTTTGTCTAGAATGGTATGGGGGGGTTGGATTAGAAGACCTCCTAGGATGGTGCCTTCCAACTCTGTTATTCTGCAAGCATGTTTCATTATAAATCAATATGTAAGGAACTGTTTTTCTTTTGGGGGGAACGATAGGCCAGCTGACTCAAATTAGTTATTTTCCAGATTTTTGACACACAGAGCCATCACTGCAATCCAGGTAGAACTTCATCTTCAATTGCCCAATGAAGCATTACTACCTCAAAATCAACATATTGAAAATGGAACTTGTATTTTGGTTCCCTATATCATTAGCTCCTCAATTGCTTTTCATATTCCTCAACCATATTCTGTACCAGATCTGGGCATTTTATGGCCCCTGGGCCACATCTGGGCCCTTTGTCTGTCCTTGTCAGGCCCGCTTGAGGTTACTTGGAAATTAGAAATCAAATATAAATAAGCATGCTGCAGGGAGCAGGAGAAGGCGAGTTGAGTCTGGCTCTGCACAGTCACCATGTGCTCCTTCAGTTGACTGCTGACTCTGGGGCGCACAAGAGAAAGTGCTTTTCTGAGCCTCTGCAGAGCTCACCCCTTGCTTGGAGCAACCTGAGGAGATGGCAATGGCAGACCCAGGTTTGGCCATCCATCAGCACCTTGGTTGAAGCATGGACTTGCAGGTGAGCAAACAGAGTGCAGTCCTAGTTTCTTCATACTGCTCCTTGGGAAAATTAATTGCCCACCTCTGCTCTATCTGCTACAGAGCAATTACATTCTTTTGATTTTGATTCCACCATAGAATCTTTAATTCAGCTGGAACTATTGACCATAACGCCCTAAGGTTGCTTTGTAAAAAGGCAATTGGACTTTGTTTTTCCTTGAAGAAGTTACGCTTCTTATCCAAGAAGCTTCTTCAGTTCTGGAGAAGCTTCTTAGATGAGCAGTACAATGTCTTCTAGGAAAAACAAAGTCCAGTTGCCTTTTGAAAAAGCACTTTTGGGTCAACCATGACCTGGATGACTCAGAATCTCCATAGACATATTGCCTCCAATCTTTTTCTCCCTCCATTTTGCCTGAAACATTAGCCTTCTACCATCAAATATTCTCCTTAAACCAGCGGTTCTCAACCTATGGGTCGCGACCCCATTTGGGGTCGATCGACCATTTTTCGGGGGTCGCCAAAGAAGGCGATCCGCCGTTTTCTCCCCTCAGGAGGCGCCGCCGCGCATGCGCACTGCACATGGGGGCGCCGCCGCGCATGCACGCTCCCCATGCGCGCAGCACCGTGCAGAACGTTTGTGTGACGGGGGTCGCCGTCACACAAACGTTGAGAACCACTGCCTTAAACTGTTAGAATAATTTATATTTTCTTTCATCCAGATGGAATGAAGCTACTTCATTCCCACTTCATTGTTCACCAGCAAAAAGTCCTTACATTTATCTTCTAGTTTTCTGTTTCAACTCTTTTTTTATTTTATTTGCCTTTAAATTTAGATTCTCTGATTTCCCATCCCTCAATTATCTAAATATCCCCTGCGTTGTAACATCTTAGTAGGTGCGGTGATCTAGATACTATTTCACATATAACATATCTTTGACAACCACCTGCCATGAAAAGCGCAACATCAAGAAAACATTCGAGTTAATGGAAACAAGTCTTTATTAAGTAACTTTTTAATATCAGAAAAATAAAACTCTTATAATTCTCTTTACAGCAAATATATAATATCAGTGCTTTGGCCATCATAAGTTAAAGGCCCTTTATCATAAAATATATGCTTTTTTTAAACTTTACTCAAATTGAATTTATAATCCGTATGACCTTTCTACATATACATAACAAAAAGAGTGTAGTAAAATTAGCAAATACTAAACCATATTGAGAGTTTTGTCATTCTGAAGTCTGTGGTTTATAGAAACAGTACACGCATCTAATGTCGAATCCTTGGCTTATTAGCTGCAGTGTACAATGCAACAATATACAAAATACATGCTTGGTAAATGAGATTGTTCATATCTACAAGACTCAGCTAAAGATTAAGAATTCAATACTGACATTTAACTATCCTACAAGCTATTAGCGTTAAAGTTATGCATCTCATAATGTAATAATATTATATGCCATCAAGGCAACTTTTATACTGAAAAAAAATCATAAAATAAAAACCGTTATCTGTAAACTTTTTTTATACGAAATGTAACTCTTTCAAGTGGAAATAAAAAATAAAGTTTTCTGTATATTCACTAGTTCAATACACATAGAATTTGCTATTCTGAGAAAAATTATTTCATCTTGGGAAGATATTGCTCAAAAAAAGAGAGTGAGTAAGAGGAAGGACAGATAGAAGTTTGTAAAAGGAGAAAGAGGAAGAGAGAGAAGAAGAAAAATGAAATCCATCAGAACTTCTGAGTGTTCTTTTAAAAACGCCAGCACAGATTTGAGAAAATTCTGAGGATGAAGTACTGTAAGGAGAAACATCCATAGGCTGAAATGTATATTAAAGAAATCAAAAGAAAAGTTCAATTTTTTTTTCCTTGAGAGAGGGAAGTGTAGTTTTGAAATGAAATAAACCGTTTTGCTGGGTCTCAGTCATTTATCACCGAATGATAAAAAAAACTGTGGATGTTACTCCTTTCGCCCCCCCAATATGACTAAAAATAAAAAGACAAGTTTCACATAATGTGCAAGTGTGGTTGGAACATAAAAATGATTCACATTTTTTATACTCTTGATATTCGCTAAAATAGTTAATTTAAGAACATCTTGATCGCACGAGCCAATGGAATGTCAGCATCCTCATTCTAGACATTAAGGGATGCAAACCCCTCTCCATCTTCCCCTGCCCTCCCACCATGGGTCTGCAAGAAGCAGAGATGGGTGGGGAAGGGGATCCATACAGACATGTCATAGCATGACAATTCATATCATGAACTGCACCTTGTATTGTGTGATGAACACCAAGGGCACAAAGGGATGCCTTCCTTTCAATGGAAGGTAGTAGCAATTCACACGTAGAGAGCATTATCTAAGATGCCCCCTGCCAATAAATAAGCAAACTGCCACCACTGGGGCCCCTTTGTGTCCGGGGTTGGACCTCCCATGTCCCTTGGCAATGATTTGAAACCAAGAAGGCTTTTCCAGGCCTCAGCAATGGAAGACCCACGCGTTCCTGATTCACTCAAAGTTGCCTCAAATTACATTACTGGATGAGAAGAGGCTTCTTTCATCCCCGTTTGCCCCTTCGGTCCTCCACGTGCCATGATCTCGTTAATAAAAACCTCTCACTTGGCTACTCGCTTGAATGGCAGGAAACCAACTGATGCACGGTAAAATTATTTGCAACGTTAGTTAAATGAAGCTTGTTATTGTAAAGAGGGAGAAAAAAAAAAAGCATCCCCAAACTTGCTCTGAAAAAACTGGCAGTGTAAAGAAGGCAGCGCTGGAAGAATTTTGAAACATTCATGATCCTTTGCACCGTTTCCCACCCCCCACCCCATAATAGTTTCTAAGCTCAGGGGCTACGCAAGACTTCACTTTCACTGCCATTATTAGAAATACTTTGTCGAGATCTGGACAGACTGCGAATGCTCATTGTACGTTCCTGCTCCAAAAACTAAGCCCCTAAGACTTCCCAACGACATCACGGCTTCCTTCCAGGACTTTGCTAGAGGTACCACAGCTGCAACCGAAATGGAGAAAGACTGGCTTAGGCCTATAAGGTTAACTGAACAAGCCTTTGTTTGTTATTTTTTGAAAAGAGTACATGCTTTTCAAACAATTTGTTAGCCTAATCTCAAGAAAGCCCAGTTAACAGTCTGAGTTCATTATAGGTTTACTTAGGGGGTACCATTACATCCAAGCCATTAAGAGTTTAAAAAGTCCATATATAATATCTCTATATATTTAAGAGTGAATTTGAATCGCCTGAGTAACAGCTGTCTGGCAAACTGGACACGAGGGTGCTTCTTTTTCACAGATCTTGTTGGCACACTCCATGCAGAAAAGGTTGTGGCCACATGGAACCAGGGCAGCGATTACTTCGTTCTCAAAACAGATCACGCAGTCGTGCTTCCGTCTTAACTCCGGAGGGGAACTAGATGTGGAACCACCGTTGGAAGAAGAGTAGCTGTTGGTACCATTGGAAAAGGCAGGGATATAGATGGGAAGGCCAACCTGATTGACTGTGCTGGGAGGGTCGCTTCTCACTCTCCGGGCTAGGGGATGTTCCAAGGTCTCGGGAAACGTCGGTGACAAGCGAGGTGTGGATGGCTGACTCCCTTTCCGTGGAGATTTCACATTATTAGCAGGTTCGCTACCAAAACTGGAGAGTGGGTTGACGGGTTCGAAAGGTGTCCAGATGGTCTGAGAAGGTGTTGGCAAGGAATCGTAGGCAGGAGAGTCGACGGTGAGATCCTCTGCCCCCACGGAAGGTAAGGTCTCTCCAAACCAAAAATTGCCAGTGCTGAATGGACTGGTCGGGCTGAAGTCAGCCAACCTATTGCTTCCAAAATAGGAGTCAGTGGAACCACTTCCTAGAGAACTGGAGCTGTCGTTTCTGTAATTAGAAATCATCCGGGTGCGACTGGGAGGTGGGACTGGGTTGGAAGTAAGCCAGGCAGATCCAAGGTTTCCTCCTTCAAAACTTACATCTGTACCATTGTAATGGAAATCGTTTTCTTCGTTGAGCTCAATGTAGTTTCCAGTGCGCATGGCAATGTGCATTTCTATCTCTTCTCGGGCCCGGTCTACATTTTCAGGCATGCCGGTCACCTCAAAAACTGGCTCTTTGTCTCTACTGGGAGTAACTATGTAGGTATGGGTTTGCTGCTGAATTCTTTTGATCGTAGCGCCTTTGGGGCCAACCACCAGCCCGACGACACGGTAAGGCACCCTGACCTGGACTGTAGTCTGGCCTGGCAGATTGGGGTTACAAGGCAGCCCTCCCAGAGCAGGGCCATTTTTGTTGCGCGAAGCTCTTATCATGGAGAAGTGCTCAGCAGCAGAAAGAATTTCCCTTTTGGCCATGGCAACGTCTTCTTTGCGTCCAGTGACCACAAAAACGGGCTCTTCTCCACGGACAGGGGTCTTGATGTACGTATTTGTTTTGGCTCTCAGGGCCTTTATTTTGCAACCTGAAGCAAGCATACAGAAACAAAAATATACAGTTTAATATGTTTATTTTTTTTTTTTAAAAAATACTCAGCCTTTAAGTTACAGGCAGTCTTCAACTTATGACTGGTTGTTTAGCAACCTTTCAATGTTACAACAGACTAGGGGTGGGGAACGATGGCCCTTATGACCGGTGGACTTCAACTGCCAGAATTCCTGAGCCAGCCATACTGACTCAGGAATTCTGGGAGTTGGAAGTCCACAACTCATAAACGGGACATCGTTCCCCACCTCTGCAACAGACCTACCCAAAAAGTAGTTATGTCCCACTTCTAAAGTACCAATGGCTGCCCCTCCCTGAGGTCATGTGACTGCATTTTGGGTGCTTGGAAACCAGCCCACATTTATGGTTGTTTGCAGCATCCTGTGGTCGCATGACCACAATTTATGATGTGTTTGCTGAAAACTGGCATTTACTTCCAGTTTTTAGTAAAAAAAAATGCCCCATAGTGAACAATGAGATTATTTAACAACCAGTGTTCACTTTATGACTGCATTTGCTTAATGACCACTGAAAAAAAGATTGCAGAATTGAGTCCAGTATGTGGTGACTCACTTTATCACTGTCACAACTTAGAACCATAATAGGCAGGCTCCAAGACTGCCTGTACTTTTACAACCACTATGATCCACAATATGTTCAAGCTAAATCCAACATAAGTCCTTTCTTTGTCAAGTCAAGTAACTTCACAGAGACCAGCACTACATTCTGTGCAAAAATTGATGCTTCTGGGAATAAATATCACACGAGGTTTGCAAATTAATTAGCTGAAGGTATCTTACTCACTCACTTGTGGTTTATACAAATAAAACAGAGATCCAGCTTTTGAAAAATCTGTTGGGTGGGCTACTTAAAAATAATTCTTTACAAGCAAATAACTATATAGAAGCCATTTTACTGTTATTTCCTGAATTTCTTCTGTCTTTATAATATCCTTCTCTCCATGAAGCATTACTTTTAATCACTGCATATTAATAATAATTTGATTATATTAAAATTAATGACTAAATTAATTAAACAATTATAGCATTCTTTATTGGCCAAGTGTGGTACTACATTTAGAAAAGCTAGGAACTCTTTCTGAAAGAAGTCAATCAAGGAAAGCTCCTAAAAACAAAAAGATAAGGCAGAATGAAACATGAAACCCGATGTGTCAACTGGAAGAACAAACAAATGCATGGTCAACACCTGAATGATATAGAAGGAAAAATTGATAAAAAAAACTCTACACGGAGATGGTTAAGAAGTGTTAAAGAACGAAACTGAAGGCTTTATTTTACTTCAGTGGTTCTCAACCTGTGGGTCGGGACCCCATTTGGGGTCGAACAACCATTTCACGGGGGTCGCCAAACAAGGCTGTCCGCCATTTTTTCCTCATTTTCTTTGTCCACGCCCCTGGCATCCAGTGATGTATAAGTGGTTGGGGGTCACCACAACATGGGGAACTGTATTATGGGGTCGCGGCATTAGAAAGGTTGAGAACCGCTGTTTTAGTGGCTCAAGAATAAGCTTTGCTGATTAACTGCATTAAGGTAAAGACTTAACATGAATCAAAAACAGCAAATGTTGCTTTTGTAGTAAAAAGATGAAACAAATGACCATTTGATCAGTGGCTGCAACAAAATTTCACATACTGACTCTAAGGAACATCATGACCAATTTGCTAAAATTATTCATTGGATACTTTTTCTAAGGTTTTGATTAGAATGTAGCAAGAACCATGGGACCCTCAAGTTGAGAAGGCTTGGGAAAATGAGTGGGTTAAGATCTTATGGGATTTTAAGATCGAGACAGACAGGCATCTTGTTCATAATGTGCCTGATATAACAGTTATTCAAAAGAAGAATGTCACTGATGCTGCTCTACTAGGTGATGCCAGGATTGAGGAAAAACAATTGGGAAAAAAATTATAAAATATTGGAACTTAAAAGTTCAAAGTTGAATGCTTATAGAAAAAGAAATCTGTTATACCAATTGTGATCAGAATCCTTGGAGTGATAACTAAAGGACTTCCTTGATATTGGAAATATTGAATTTATCAGACTTGAACACTCTTAATTTTACAAAAAAACTCACCATGATTGGAACTGCCTATGATCTTAGATGTTATTTTAGTAATTCTTAGTCCTTGGTTAGGACTAAGTTTCCACCAGGCGTAGAGTACCCTTGCATATTAATTTTAATAATTTATTAAGCTTTTATGCTGGCCAATTTAACAACTCTGGATGGCTCACAGCAATCAAAGAAATCATAATGAAATATAAAAATAAAGAAAAAAGATGACATATTGCTACTGAAATATTATAATTTTAATACAATTTGTTTTGCCATTAAAAAGCTATTTTAAATAAAACAAATACTAGTACACAGGTTATTCATTCAAGGGCACTTCTTTTTAACATCAAGAAAGCCCTTTAGATGGAGGCCGAAGTGATCTCTAAATATGCTAAAAACCTGAAGAAGCTTTTAAACCACAGGGAAATTTTATTTATTTATTTATAATTTTCCTGTTTTTATTATTTTTATAAATAACTCAAGGTGGCAAACATTTTATTTTATTTTTCACATTTCTGAACCACCTATCTTGTAGGAGGTGTACAATAAAAAGTTTAAACATAAAACAGCATAAAAGTTGAAAATTAGAAGGAGGCAAGTGTGATTAAATATTATTAACATTAGTTAAAAAGTGAAGAAAGGGCTTCCAGGGAATTAATATACCTGATTCTCCCTCTTCCTCCTATTTTTCCCATAACAACAATCCTGTGAGGCAGGAGTAGGCAACCTTGGCTCTTTTTTTTATTAAAAGTTTTTCAAATTTATTACAATATAAACCCCCCACCCCTCCCCCCTTCCCCCCTCCCCCACTTCCCAGAGCTGATTACAGGGTAACAAATAAACAAACATAATCTAACTAACATAAACCAACTATACTATCAATCAAAACCATAACACACTTTAACTCCTTCTCAAAACAAATATTAACAAATTAAAACAAAAGTAATAATATAATTAAGACTATTAATAATTATCTAAAATCTATTCAAAAGCAAGATAATACTTTTAAGTTTCATATTTCTTTTGAATATAATCAATCCATCTTCTCCAAACCATAATGTATCTTTCTTGTGAATGGTCCTTCAAGTAGGCGGAGATTTTCGCCATTTCTGCTAAATTAGACACCTTAAGTAGCCATTCTTCCAAAGTAGGCAGTGAGTTTTTCTTCCAATATTGCCCCACCAATAATCTTGCAGCTGTTATAAGAGTCAACATCAAATTGATTTCTTTAACATCAAAATCTACAATAATACCCAACAAAAATAATTGCGGAGTAAGCTTTATCTTTCTCTTAAAAATCTGCAACCTTGGCTCTTTTATGACTTGTGGATTTCAACTCCCACAATTCCTGAGCCAGCCATGCTGAGGGGAAAGGGAAAAGTTTCCAAGCTGAGCCATGCTGGCTCAGGAATTCTGGGAGTTGAAGTCCACGAGTCATAAAAGAGCCCAGGTTGCCTACCCCTGGCCTAGTCTATTAAGCCTGACAGGAGTAGATTATCAGAAATTGGTAGGTCTAGTCCAGAGTTTCCCAAACTTGACAATTTTAAGGCATGAGGACTTCAACTCCCAGAATTCCACAGCCAGCAACGCTGGCTGTGGAATTCTGGGAGTGAAGTTCACGAGTCATAAAAGAGCCAAGGTTGCCTACCCCTGCTGTGAGGTATATTGAGCTGAGAAAGTGTGACTGGTCTAAGTTACCCAGCTGGTTTTCATGCCTAAGGCATGCGTAGTAATCTAAGTAAACATTTCTATAGTAAATACTGTGATAACACAGTATCATAGGAATGAGGTGGATGGAAATGGGGATTTGTCTGACTTTTGCTAGTCTCCTTTTGCAGGTAATGGAGATGTAGCACTGCTACAATAGAAAAAAAAATCCCCACTTCTTTTTATTCTTTCTTTCCAACATCACTGCTTCTCTGCCAAGATCTATTGACTTGAGGCAATAGCAAAAGTAGGCTGCTTTAAACCTTCCTGTAAATTGCTGGAGCAAGACAATTAACTATTAGATGCACTTTCTAATTCAGTATTTTGATTGAGAAACACAAATACACATAGCCACACAAATTCATACTGAGGGATAGTTCATTTTTGTATCTTTTTAGGAGAAAGCATCATCAGGGTTGTCAAACTGCCAGCGGGCCGGATGCATCATGGCAAAACTGCGCCCACCCTATTGCTGGCAATGGAAAAAAAGTCATGATACTTTGCGACACGTCACGTAATGTTGTGAGTTTGACATCCCTGATTTACATCCTAGTCAGCAGAATTTTTGCCTACACATTAAGCTCCTATCTGAAAAGCAGCATGGTAGCCTAGTGGTGAAGACGCTCACGTCCCATGTGGAAGGTTGATAACTCAATCCTAGGTAGTGTCAGAAGCAAAGAAAAAAATATCTGCTGCAAACTCAATGTAGGCATCAGAAAGGGCATCCAGCCAATAAATGCTTAGCTCCATCCAAATGTCCTGAGTCAATTCTGAACAGGGATTATCCTGTTTGGCTTTTCACAAGAAGGCATGTGGATGTTCTAAGCATCATGTCAGAAAAATGCAGGCCTCACATTCACTATTAAACAAGATCCCTAAAAATGCTCTCTTTTAAAAGGTAATGCTGGAAGAAAAGCTGATTTTCCAGACTCTGAGATCAACCCCTCTGTTATCAGGAAAGAAAGAGTGATCTGTCAAAAAAGCCAGTTTCCAACACCAACTTTCTGTCTATGTCACCAATCAATAGTAATTGAGTTTATTTGTAAAAAAATTCTGTGAAATACAGAGAGACACTACAGTAAAGGCAGTCAACTCTCTGCCCTCAAGTCAGCAACCTTTTAACACCATTTCACTGGATGACCTTCAGAGGTCTTTCTGTTCTCATTTCTTGTTCCTATTAATCACTTCTTAATATGCTGC